AGGACGGGCCCTCCTCGCCTACGCAGCCTCTGCTCACACCTCGACTGGGGTCGCACCATTCAAGAGGCTCATGGGCCGTGAAATGATAGTCCCTTCCCACATTTTGCTTCCTCGTAAGAAACCGGCAGAGGATAATGCGCCTCAGTATGTCTTGCGAGTAAAGGAGAACCTCAGAAAAGTGTGTGACGCCGAGCGCAGACAGCTGAAGAGAGCATACAATAGACAAAAGAGGTTCTACGATAGACAGAGTCGAAAAAGCGTCTTCAAAGAAGGCGATTTGGTGCAATTGTATAGACCTATTTCTCCGCCACGAAACCATTGGAAATTCCATCACCTCTGAAGCAAGGAGCCCTGCTGGAGGATCAATGTTCTGTCGCCCACGAATTATCTCATTCGGAGTGCAGGGATCGCTACTCCGCTTCAAACAGTACATAATTACTGTATTAGGCCATGTACGAGCCCGTCTCCAGTAGGTTACGAAGACGAAGTCTACACGGTATCAGAAAAAGAGTATCCGCCCGATGGGATCCCACCCGTCTGCGCTGAGGACGGTGCATCAAAGACAAGGCAGGGGAGGCTGTGTAATTTATACTAGTCAGCATGAGTGTACTTTTATGGGTGAGAGGCGGGAACCAATTGGGGACGCGAATCACGTGCGTGAAGTCGGCGAGGCGTCTCCCTCCCATTGATGTCGTCTACTCGCCTCATCTGCATCCCATTGTACTTCCTTCCTTCCTCATAGCGAATGCCCAATAAATCATCCGCAATCAACTGTCCCTTGAGATTAGGCGTTAAATGTTTCGGGTGTACTTTCAGCTGCTCGCCTTCCCTATGGACGCTGAACCTCAGACTTCAAGAGAGAGTTGGTTGTGGATGATTCGTGATTCGCACGTGATTCGCGTCCCCTATTGGTTCCCGCCTCTTACCCATAAAAGCACATTATACTGACGATTATCTATTTTAACTACAGTCTATTTGAAGCCGCAGAGGTAGTCAGTTTCTTATTGTCATGCAATTTTTCGACTGATGGGTTTGGCTTTTGGGTCCTTCCGTGTATTACCGAATATGTCTTGTTGGCTGCCGAGAAAGTTTAAGTTAACAGAAGAGTTAAGGACTTTGAAAATGATAAGAGAGTTTTTTTCTGACCATATGAGATATGGCAGTCACTTTAGGAATTGTTTGGCCCATGTACTGGTTGGCTGGCTTTCAGGCCATGCTCAAATCCATTTTTTCGTTTTCTTAAAAATACGTGTATTTAGTGAAAATAACCTTTTAGATCTTACTAGATTAGAAGTCTCTGGACGCCGCGCTTTTAATTGTTTTAACCTTTCCTTGAACATAAAAAATTAAAAATTGTAGCTTTTACAAAATAGTTAATGTTTTAGTAAAAGATTTAATAATAATTAAAGGATAAACAGAATATATATTCTGAATCTGTGTCATTTGTTGTTATGTGTTTCAATATGTTATTATACTGCTCAGCGCTCTTTGAGTTTCGAATCTTTGTGCTGATTGGTGTTCGCTTCTTTACATGTCTGACGTCGAAGAGGAGGTATATTTTTCCGTTATACATGTTTTTGGTGTTTAATTTGTACGTCAGTGACCCGAATATCGACTATGTTTTTCTCTGTCCTTCGCTTTGGCTTTTCTACCATCATTGTTTATCAACTTACGTCTCGTTTGTGGTCGCATTTTTATTCATGTTATATATATGTGTTATTTTAGCTCTTGACGGGTGAATTTTCCAATGGTTCAAGTAAAATAAATCTTGATGCTGCTGAGATTGAGCTGAAAAAGCGTCGCATGCAGGAGTTGCTTGATAAAGCTGCCGCATTTACTGCCCTCAAAGAAACTGGAGCAGATTCGGGTGCTGCTTTAAGTAGTCCTTCAAGTGCTCACGCTCCTCCTCCTCCTGCCCCAGAGTAAGACTTTGGAATACTTTTACTGTGTAGTCATCGTCATCGTCGTACAGAAAAGGAGGAAGATGAGGAGCTTCTTATTGAAACAAAGAAGGGCAGCAATGCTATTATAACACGCTTTGATGTTACTCCCTGGTGTATGTTGCCTTTTTGATATATAGTCGTTTTAGATGTGAAGGGTGGTGAAATGCGTGACTACCAAATCCGCGGACTTAATTGGTTGATTGGCCTTGGTTTAAGTAATACTAACGGTATACTTGCTGATGAAATGGGTCTGGGTAAGACTTTGCAGACAATATCGCTACTGGGCTATGTGAAGCACTATCGAGGTAAATCTGGGCCCTTCCTTGTCATCGTTCCGAAATCGACGCTCTCGAATTGGATGAATGAAGTTCGTAAATGGGTGCCTACTCTTCATCCTGTTTGTTTGATAGGTAGCGCCGATGAAAGGGTACGCCACTTAGCAGATATTACCTCAATCGTCTAGGCACGCGTTATCCGCGAGGAAATTTTGCCTGGCAATTGGGATATTTTAATCACGAGTTATGAGATGTGCATTAAAGAGAAAAACCTCCTGAGGCGGTACAACTTTGTCTATCTTGTGATAGATGAGGCTCATCGTATAAAGAATGAGAAATCAAAGCTTTCGGAGGTCGTGCGTATGTTCAATTCACAGAGTCGATTGTTGATCACTGGTACTCCGCTTCAAAACAATCTTCATGAACTCTGGGCACTTCTTAACTTTCTGATGCCCCAGATGTTTATCTCCTCTGACACTTTTGACGAATTATTTAACTCGCAGTCCCTGCAGGAAGAAACTTTGGTCACTCGCCTTCATTCGGTATGTCAGTTTAAGTCTCTACTACATGTTTTGCCTCAGATACTTCGGCCTTTTCTCCTGCGTCGCGTAAAAGCTGACGTTGAGAAAAAGCTGCCTCCGAAGAAGGAAATCAAGATCTACGTTGGTTTGAGCAAAATGCAGCGGGAACTTTATACAAAGATTCTCATGAAAGATCTTGATCTTGTCAACACTAGCGGGCAGAAAGCGGATAAAGTGCGTCTCCTGAACGTACTGATGCAACTTAGAAAGTGTTGTAACCACCCATATCTGTTCGATGGTGTGGAACCGGGTCCGCCCTATACAACTGATCAGCATTTGGTGGACAATTGCGGCAAGATGATCCTCTTGGATAAGTTATTGAAGAAGCTTCGAGAGCAAGGCTCTCGGGTTTTAATTTTCAGTCAGATGACAAGGACTCTTGACATTCTCGAGGATTACTGCATGTGGAGAGGACACGAATATTTCCGCCTTGATGGTCAAACAGCCCATGATGATCGACAGGTAAGAGTTTTAACATTCTTGATTTACATTTATGGTTTTCTACTAATTCGGGCGTCAATTTTCTTTTGGTGACATAGGTTTCTATTGATGAATTTAATCGTCCTGGCTCGACGAAATTCATTTTCATGCTCTCCACTCGTGCCGGTGGTTTGGGGATTAATTTGGCTACTGCTGACGTGGTCATTCTTTATGATTCCGACTGGAATCCCCAGGTGGATTTACAAGCTATGGATCGTGCCCACCGTATTGGTCAGACAAAGACGGTGCGCGTGTTTCGCCTCATCACTGAAAACACTGTGGAAGAGAGGATCGTCATGCGCGCTGATATGAAACTCTATTTGGATAATCTTGTAATTCAGCAAGGTACGTTTGGTAGCTTTCTTGTGCTTATCGGGGTCTACTGCCACGCCTTTTAATGTAACTTACATCTCATTATGACAACTTGGTATGACTCGTCTTTTCTTCGACCACGTTGTGAAATCATCACTGGTTTCCCAGTCAGTACTGCAGTGTTAGCTCTAACAGATTATAATGCATCTCGATCTGACAGGCCGGGGAGAAAACTCTTACGCCCAGGATTTGCTTCCCCTGTTCACGAGTTGCGTTCATGTTCGTTTTTGGTTGCTATCATTTAATTGCATAAATTGCGTACGTAGTTTTCTGTATCACGGCATCCTTATTTCAGGGCGTCTTGTTGATCAAAAGTCCAATCAATTGCAAAAGACGGAAGTCATCGATATGATCAAATTCGGTGCAAACTACATTTTCCGCAGCAAGGAGAGTACAATTAAGGACGAGGATATAGACGAGATTCTGGCCCGTGGCGAGCAGAAGACTAGTGAACTGAACGAAAAGTACGCCAAGATGGGAGAATCCAATCTTCGACAGCTGCGCTTCGACACAGAGGAGGAGGGGCCGGACTCTGTCTACATTTTTGATGGTGAGGATTATCGAACTAAGCAACAGAACTCCGGTGCACTTGCTGTAAGTTTCTTGTGGGTATGTTTAGATCCTTGCCGCACAACCATGCTTCGCGCCAACCTTGTTCTTTTGACGTTTTTTTCAGCGTCTACCTGAAGTAAGAAGCAAATATGCCATTTGCCATTTGCCACATTTTCTCCGCTAAACTCGGCTTATCGCTTTCATTTAATGCCTCTTAAATTTTGATACTTCATGTAGGACTCGTGGACAAGGCCAAAGCGCACGTTGGCCACTTTTTTGTTTCTATAATTTTCACACAATACTTGGTTAATGGTCACCGATCGCATTTCACCACATCCGTGAGATTTCCATCCAAAATTCTCTGACATCTGTCTCTGTGCTCTAGGGTTGGATTGAGCCACCTAAACGAGAGCGAAAAGCTAACTATGCGGTAGATGCCTACTTTCGGGAGGCTCTTCGTGTGTCGGAGCCAAAGGCACCTAAAGCACCACGACCTCCCAAGCAACCGAATATTCAGGACTTCCAGTTTTTCCCTCCTCGCCTCTTTGAACTCCTCGATAAGGAGATCTATGCCTTCCGGTAAGTATATTCAGCGATTTTTATCTCAAGCATATCGTGTGCTTTTGTTTATGGAGCATTTTGTGCATTGTATCCTGTGTCAAGTAAAAGCATAGGCTATAAGGTGCCTATTAATCCGGACGCCGGTCCCGAAGGTAAACGTGAACGTCAAGAAGAGCAAGCAAAGATAGATGATGCTACTCCACTTGATGAGGCTGAGCTGGCCGAGAAAGAGGAGCTTTTGACACAGGTTGGTGCGACTATTTTACATTGTCTGGAATTGTTGTCATTGCTTACGGCTCACCACATTTGCGCTCCTGGTATAGGGCTTCACAAATTGGTCAAAGCGCGACTTTCAGCAGTTCATCAAGGCTAATGAAAAACATGGTCGCGACGATTTGGAGTCTATTTCTCTCGATGTTGAAGGGAAGTCGCCGGAGGAGGTTAAGCGCTATGCTCGAGTATTTTGGGCACGATGCAGTGAGCTTCAAGATGTTGATAAGCATATGGCTCAGGTTAGTAATAATTCACCTTTGATTGCTGAATGTACTGCAAAGGCTACTCCATCACAGGGTTTTATCATGTAGATTGAGCGGGGAGAATCGAAGATACAGCGGCGAGCAGCTGTGAAGCGTGCCTTGGATATTAAAATGAGTCGTTACCGCGCTCCCTTCCATCAATTGAGAATTCAGTATGGTGCCAATAAAGGCAAGAATTACACAGAGGAAGATGATAGGTTTCTCATTTGCATGCTTCACAAGCTTGGCTTTGATCGTGACAATGTCTATGATGACCTCAGACTGGCTATTCGGCTGGCGCCGCAGTTCCGGTTCAATTGGTTTATTCGATCTCGAACATCCATGGTAAGTCGAATTTTTGCTTACCGTTAAATCCTCGAACTGGTTTTAATGCCTCAAGTTGTTTAAGGAGTTGCAGCGCCGGTGTAGCACGCTCATTACCCTTATCGAGCGAGAAATAATCGACTTGGAGGACAAGGGGAAGCAACGGGGTGGTACAGGTGGTGCCGCGGGGTTGCCGGCTAATCTGACCGGGCCTGGAACCGGTGGAATAAGTTCAGCTGTCGCGCAAAAGCGGAAATCTTCATCAGTAAACAATCCTGCACAAATGGATAAGAAGATCAAAGTATGATTTAGTTCGACAATTCTTACTAGATGTGGCGTCCCGTTTGTGGTGTATATACAATACTCTTACTCATTACGGGCTCTTTGAAAGGGATCATGGGGGTTGCGTCTTGGGGGTGTCGTCATTTGTCCTCGCTCTGAGGATGGTAGGGTGAACTTTGGTAAAGAATTCAGGGGTTAGATGCGCTTGGGGGTTTCAAGGTGTTCGTGGTAAATCGGGGCGTCTGTTGGTGGCTTCACTCACGGGTAAGAATATCTGGAAATGAATGCGTCCAAAGAGTTATCAAAATTAATGTAAATCTTATGACAGAATTTGTTACTGTGGAAAAGGTATGCATTTTATTGGTTCATAAACGCGCGTCATGTACAAAATTCATGTTTTAATGCACCGACTGAGAAGGCTCATTTTCGAGATCTTTGCTGTAGTCATGGCTGCGATGGTGAGTAATTTCTGATTCATGATTGTATATATTGCTGGTCTGGAGTTTGCATTGAGTTCAACTTCTTAGTTTTGACATTCCAGTTGTTCTGCGCAATTAGCTTGGGTGCCTTGCGCGTCTATAATTTTGTTCTTCTTTAATGCTAGGACGTAGAGCATATGCCAGTCACTTCACCAAGAATTATGGCGGCGGATCCTTCTCGAAAGATTCGGAAGACTCTTGAGAAGGACACAAAAGAAGTAGTAATTGAAGGGACGGATGGTATTAGAGATTATTACTGCAGTAAAATTGATGAGCTCCAATTTGTTGTTACTGAAAAGATGCAAAATCTCAGGAGATTGGGTGCTCAGCGGAACGAGTTGAACGCTAAAGGTAGTGTTGGTAACACAGCTACAGTTCTATAGTTCGACTTCTGCGCGAAGAACTTCAGCTTCTTCAAGAACAAGGTTCCTACGTTGGTGAAGTTATCAAACCAATGGATAAGAAGAAGGTCTTAGTTAAGGTTCAGCCTGAGGGGAAATTTGTCGTTGATATTGACAAAAATATTGACATTAGTTCAGTTACGCCAAATTGCCGTGTAGCTCTTAGGAACGACAGTTATACTTTACATAAGATTCTTCCCAGCAAAGTCGATCCTTTGGTTTCTCTAATGATGGTTGAGAAGGTGCCTGATTCAACTTACGAAATGATTGGTGGCTTGGACAAGCAAATAAAAGAGATCAAAGAAGTCATTGAGCTTCCTGTTAAACACCCGGAGTTGTTTGAGGCGCTTGGAATTGCGCAGCCTAAAGGGGTATTGCTGTATGGCCCTCCAGGTACCGGGAAAACCCTTTTAGCTCGAGCAGTTGCCCATCACACCGAGTGCACTTTCATTCGTGTGAGTGGCTCGGAACTTGTTCAGAAGTTTATAGGAGAAGGCGCTAGGATGGTGCGCGAACTCTTTGTCATGGCTAGGGAACATGCTCCATCAATTATTTTTATGGATGAGGTTGATTCCATTGGATCAACTCGCTTGGAAAGTGGCTCTGGTGGTGACAGTGAGGTTCAGAGGACTATGCTTGAGTTGTTAAATCAGCTCGATGGCTTTGAACCAAAACAGAACATCAAAGTATGTTGTGGCATAATGTGCTAACCGCATTTTGCGCAGGTTGTGATGGCCACTAATCGAATCGATATCCTTGACTCTGCTCTTTTGCGCCCTGGTCGTATTGATCGCAAAATTGAGTTTCCGGCACCTAGCGAAGAGGCTCGGTTAGACATTCTGCGGATCCATTCCCGGAAGATGAATTTAACTAGAGGCATTGATCTTAGAAAAATTGCTGAGTTGATGCCTGGTGCCAGTGGTGCTGAGGTTAAAGGAGTTTGTACCGAAGCAGGAATGTACGCTCTACGTGAACGTCGAGTTCACGTAACACTTGAGGATTTTGAGATGGCAGTAGCAAAGGTATGTTTAAAAGATTGCTACACCAATTTGAGCCTTTTGTACATTGGTCTACTCGTTTGTTGTGTTATATTTTGATTTATTTGGCCTTAGTTGTTATCTTATCTTTTCTTCTTTTATGTAGATCTGAATTTTACCAGGTGAAATTGTCAAAGGTTGTCTAAATTTTTTTTGTTCCTGACAGGTAATGCAGAAGGACTCAGACAAAAACGTTTCAATCAAAAAGCTCTGGAAGTAATCTTCTTTTCGCGGATTGTTTTCGCTGCAGTGAGGTCCCTTCACTCCGGTTCGTACGGTTTTCTGCAAACCCACTCTTTTGTGCCACATTTTATTTGAATTTCTTCATTGCGATCACGAGGAGTTGAGTCATGACAACCTGGTTTTTCTCGTAAATCGCAGTTTTTCCACTTTATATTCGATACTTATATTGTGGCACCTATGCTATTCTCTAATGAATGACACTTCCCTTCTCCATGATGTCGAATGTCTTCCTCTTCGCTCTCCTCCACTCCCGCCCATGTGCACGTTTGTTTGGTCTTCGCATAAGCAACGAGCACATTTTCTACGCGCACACACGTATGATCGCTTCATTTTGTACAAAATTACAATTAAATTCAGCGTCATAGTTGAATACTTTTTAAAAAATGTGTTTGCGTGTTTTTAAGAACACGTATAGACCATTCTTTGTTGGATTATAATTATTGCTGACTAGGGAGAGTGTGATGGAACTCAGTTCTCGGGGTGCGTGATGTGTCGCAGTTTTTTTGACAGGGTGTGCTGTTTTGGTTTTGTGTTGTTTATCTGTGTGTTATTTCTGGTTCCAGCCGCCGGGGTTTTTAGCATGTGATCCTCGAAGGGTGAATGTTGTCAGCGTGTGGATCATGCACGTCGGGGCCCATGGTGATGTTATTGCTTCTCATATATGTGGCTTACTGTGCACGTTCTGAATGTTAATGAAACTTGCGGAGAGTTTGTTGTGTAGCGATAGGAATGGTGAGGAGAGGATGTCGAGCGGCATATAGTATCATACCATATTTCGATTATTCACATTGGTTCTTCCCTTTCCAATGCTTCTGAACGAAATCCTTCCTCAGGTTTCCAGTGGTAGTACATTAACTCTACTGCTGAAGGTAATTGAGATTTCATTAGCATAAGCCGACACCACATGGCTTGTTAATTTGGAAGATACGAGTCACTCCACAAATATTTTCATAATTCCGCCCATTGATCGTACTCCCGAAGTCTTCATTACTTGGTGTCATGCGCATGTTCTTTTCCCCATTATGTACTTTACGAACTCAACGTCCATTACGAATTTCGAGAGGGTTCTGGTTTGAATGTCATCACTTCTTGCAGGGTTGGCTATCACAAAACAATGGCGTATAGCTTTCTAATTTTACTAAAACATCCTGGGATGGGGTCACAGCTGAGAATGGCGATTCTGTGCGTCATTACGTGATTCTGTACCGATTTAGATACGTTTTCGAAGTATCCTAGTTTGCAATTAGATCGCACTCTCAAGGCAATGCACTTGCAATGGGAGGCAAACTAGCTTTAAATTCTTTTACTCAATTTCACGGTACGGAGGTACCCAAAGGTCATAAAAATCCTAGTAAAGAACAACAAAGACGGAATCAGGCGTTTTCATGTTTGATCATTAATTTTCAAATGCGAACAACAGGTCTGAATGACCGACATTATGCAGTGCAGGTGATTCCGTCACATGCATTAATACTTGACTTTTGAGGCACGTGATAAGCAGTGAGTCACCGCAAGCTAGAGACTTGTTTAAAGCTAGCCAAATAAGTGCTCAATCCACCGTGTGATCCACATTTCAAATTTGGGTGGGATCGAATGGTGCTAGCCGCGCATTTCTGATGACCTAAAGGACCATTATAACAGGGCACAAAGGGTGTTGTAGACAAAGAATTCAAGCGCCCTCTACTATGGTCTGTCGCTCGCTTGAAGCAAGGGATAAAACACTGATAAAAGTGGTTTGCTAGTTTATTCACTGCTTACTAGTCGCATCGCTATAGCATCGTAGGGCGTTCGCAACCCCCATTTTATCCATATGCAATGAATAGTTCACGTACTCTAGGCCTTTTTCGTGACAATATTCCGCGATGGTGTTGCTATGAAAAGTGAATAACTAAACAGCAGATTTGTGTTCATTGTTAATCCCACTTGGGTTCCTTTGGAGATGGATTGCTTGGTGCATTATTTTTATGCATTGCGAAGATCACAAATTTAGTCTTTGAGCGGAAGGAGCGTCCTATGCGTTCCAAGGCAAGCGTCTATTCGGTCTATTACGGCCCTCCTATACTGGGGATTTCTTATACAGGCCATTGAGAATTCCATTTGTAGGCATTGCTTTCGAGTCAAGTCCAACTTTTTTTATGCATCTTGGCGATGATTTCCTCGGATAAGGTTATAACTAGAGTGTGGAATTAAGGTCCTACAAGATTTTCCACACAAGTAGTGTTTTGACGAAGTACCTGACGCCTAACTGTAAGATCGTTTGGAACATATACTACACGTTGCAACGCATTGCAATTTCGCAGCCTATTTTAATGCATTTTATGCCAAGGTTGGGTAACTTAGTCCAAAAGTCGCGCTTTCGGAAATTGACGTGAGTACAGGACACGAGTAAGATCCCACCTTTTATCCTAGAGTGTTATGTTGATTCTGCACCTATTAATTAAATGAGTAGTATCATTTTGTTGCCGATTTGGCTAAAGTGAAATTTAAGTCCCCGTCTCATAAATCCAAGACTCCTCGCCGGGAAGATGAAGGCGTTAAGAACAGAGCTTTGGCTTGACCTGAAGTCATGGCCAAGGTTAAAAGAGCGGGACGAATACCAGTGCCGACTCTATGCATAGGAATTCACGTTCAGAGGCATTTTATTCAAGCTTTTAGCTTTCGGTCGAATAGGTGATTAAGCCATGCCTTATGCCGTCTAATACGTAAGGGCGAGTCCAGGTACGATGAAAGGATTTTGCTTTGGAAAATGTTTTGTCGCCTAAGAAAATCACAGATTGATTTTGTAGCCGACAGTAATTTTGAGACTTGGGTTAAGGTATTTCTGCAATGCTGCAATTATGAAGGTAGAAATGGCATAAGAGTATCATTTACCATAATCCATTCGCAGTGTTGCTAAGACATTGGGCGGGGACCACCACTTCTGCGATTCCCACATCGATATAACTATTTAGCTATTTTCATCGCCTAGGTACATTGGAGTTAGACTTTCAAAATTTTGCCGCAGCTAGTTATTGAGTAAGAAAAAACTTTTGCGTAACGTCTCCAACTATCAAGCAGTATACTTTTGTCTTCTTTTCAACAAAAAGCATTCTCATGTCCGAAACAGAAAGTCTTCTAAATGTTTTTAAATTGTTTTGAAGTTTTTGACATGCTATAATTGTACGCTAAAACAAATGATGACTATAGAGTTAATCTCAATTCAAACATAAACTTACCAGTAATTTGTATAATTTACCTATTAATATAAAAACAAATCTAAGTTAATTTTTGTTTGAATCTATCAAGAGGGGTTCATGTTCTAGCGCGGATATTATCTTGCTGATAGCCGGGCCTTCTGCTCCTTCATGTTATATGGGTAGGTTCCTCTTGCGGATTCTTCTCTCTTCCTGAGGTCATTAAGTCGGAGTTTTCGTTTCTATTTTTTTAGGTAATTTCGTCGAATGTGATACTTATGATCTCCAATGCAACCATTTCGAGATATTGTTCCTGTAACACAGAACGGTTTTCCGAACGTTATTAATCCAAATACTAATTCCGATTCCTCCCTTAATCCCCCTATTCCGAAGTACAATAGTTTCCGTGGGAACATGGCCATTACAACTGATATGTATATCGGTCAGCATGGTCGGCATAATCCTGCGACAACGCAATTCGGTCATACCCTTCAATACCACCCAAACAGTATCCCTCAGGGTCTCCACAATCTTCCGAATTCCGCTAATTGTCAAATTTCTTTCAATGGATTCGTCTCCTCCTCGCGAGTTTTGGACATTTGGGCCAACAACTTCCACGAAGGTATGCGAATGGTACGAAGGTTGGCGAAAGGCGCGAGATATGTTGCTGTGGACACTGAATTTCCCGGCGTTGTGGCAAAGGTTTTCGGTGAATATGTAAACACTTTCGACCAAGCATATCACAATATCAAAGTGAACATCGATATGCTGCGTCCTATTCAGATTGGCTTCAGTTTCTTTGGTGAACGAGGACAGTGTGTAGATTCGGTCGCTACTGTCCAGTTTAATTTGAAGTGGAATGTTGATAATGAAACGCATGCTGCCGATTCTATTCAACTACTTCAAGACTGTGGAATCGATTTTTATAAATTGAAACGGGATGGAATCGAACAACAGGATTTCGCGGAGGCTTTCATTGGTAGCGGTCTGGCACTAAATGACCAAATCACGTGGATTGGATTTCATAGGTGGGTTTTGGTGTTCATTTTTATGCATTTCTCTCTAGTGCCTATGACTTTGCTTATATGATGAAAATATGCACCGACTGGCTCCAAATGCCTGAACATGTGTCGCAATATCAAGCCATGTTACACATGTTCTTCCCTCGCATTGTTGATCTTAAATCAGTGATGGCTGAGCACAAGTTCTCCAAAGGTGGCTTACAAGAGTTGGCTGATGCTCTGCATGTGCAGCGAGTCGGATTCAAGCATCAAGCTGGAAGCGATTCAATGCTTACTGGCGAAACGTTTTTCCGTTTCCTTGATGTAAATTGTTGTGTTTATTAATTTCACTCTTATGTTAGGAGCACTCCGCAGGGAAATTGAACCCTCGTTTCGTGAACCTCGTTTACGGGCTCAACTTTTGTCCAAACGGTTCAACAAACTCTATTTTACCCATGAATGGATCTCCCCTGGAATCTGCAACGCATGGTGGGGTGTACAGTCCTGGCGCCTCCGGTTCTCAACACAAAGAAACACATAGTGCTGACCATTCTGGGAGGAACTCACCTGAGGGCTCCTTGAGTGGCCACAAAAGCAGTTGATCAGGCCCCATATTGGACTGCTAAACTCACTCGTGTGCTGCTTTGGGTCTAGTGTACATAATGAAGATGACTCCCTATGTGCTGTCCAATGCATTTAAACGATCTGCCCGATTTTTCTAAAGGTCGGTTTCTGTACAATTCACCAATACGGTGTTATCAACTGCGCGTCTTTCTAAGACATTATTTGCGTCCTGTCTAAATCTTTGATCCACCTTTTTTATTTCCTGTGTAAATTTTGTTCAGTGTCAGAATCATTTTTCTTAGAATTGTTGACTTTTCCTATGGAGTGCTTGGAGCTTTCCCAGGGTCGTACGAATGGCTAAGTTATGTGCTTAGATCGTGCTTTTTCGCCCCTTCCAGGCAGCACTCATAAATCACTTCTTCTGATTTTTCGATGCATTTTCTTCCCGCTACCTAGCATTTATAATTCATCTATACTGGAAAGGTGTACTTACTTCGATCTGGCAGCGTTGTGCTTCTTTTGCTACTCTTGGATCCTCGTATGTTTGAAATGTCGTCGAATGATCTGTGATATTTCCCTCTTTCGCAATTGTATGCTGACCTCTTGACGCGCCGCAGGAGATGAAACAGAGCCTCAGCCTTTCAAGATGACGGCAGATTCAGTGCATGCCAGACTCTTTAACCTTTTGTACACAGACTTCAGACGAAGCTTTCGAGGTGTTTCAGCAGTTTCTTGTCAATGTGTTGTAATTCCATTTCCCATGTACTTTTTCCCCCATCTCATGACACCCAGGGTAGCCGTCTTCTTTCCCTGCTCCTGAGTGCTTCTCGTGCCATTGGGTATCCATTGTAGCCTTGTCACGTTTTCAGTCCTACTGTAAATAAAGCTGAAATGTTCGAAATTCCTTAATGTTTGTGATTTTTGAGCTTCCGTGTCTCACGGTCAAGTTTTTAGTTGGCTCTTATTCTCTTGTCTGTTGTGATCGAGTGATTTGGATTGCCATTTACATGCATTCTACCTCCTCGTGTCGGTGTACTGGGGAGAGTTGTCCAGCTTATTCGTTGCAATACTGACATTCGACTGGTCTTGGTGTTTCAACTTGCATAATGAAGTTCAGCGGTGTTTGTCACGCTGCCATCGACCCGCGTCCGCGTTTAGGTTTCATTTCTCGCTTTCGGTCCTGTTTTCTGTTCGTACCACCTGTCGTCTCGTAAGTCTCACCTTTAGCCACGTAACTTACCTAAATCCATGGCTAAAGTTGGTCGGCGCCTACGCTTACTCGCGATTCCAGCCCTTAAAACACTTCGAATGCGACGAGCGATGGGTGGTTTTGTTGTTTTCCATGTAAAAGTTTAATGTCCGCACACCCGTTGTTCTTGGTGTTATATTGCTAGCATGTGGTTTGCAAGGCGTTGGGTGTGTGTACATTTATACGCTTGTCTGGTTTTGACATGCGATGCTTTTATCGCTGCATTATCAAATTGTAAGGTAGCATTTTAGTGATTGTAATTACATTTTGCACTTAAGACTCGTATTGTATCACCGAGTGCTGGCCTCATACTCGGGTTCTGGTGTTCTGACTCCAAACAAAAGCACTTTATCAAATGCCTCCCAGTGGGGCCTGTGGTGTCGACAGATTTGACCTACCAACTGGCTATGCAGTTCCTTAAATCACAGTAATTGAATGTTGTTCTGGGCTGCGTTGTCACCCGTCCAATGATGCGTGGCGGGCTTCATAATGGGTGCTCAACCTGTTTGTGTATACAATGGTGTGCACAAATGACGGTGTTAGTAATGAAGGCAAATGGGTCACGTGATGTAGGATGTGTGCGTATGACGGGCAACGCTGCGCCATGCATACCTTCGTGTGTATCCATGTGGAGGTCAATGTCCTATTCACTTTCCCCATTAAGGCTTGGTACTAATTCTCAATCTCTTTACGTAAGATAGGTGGATTCTAATATGCTCACATTTTAGTTAGATAACTGAAGAAATTTGAGAAATCTTAACTAGTGCTGGCTCTTCTAACAATTTTGAGTTTTCTTCCAAATTGATGAGTTGGGTGTCGCTGTGAGTCTGAGTCACATTACTTATTACTCATATGCTACCCAAACTTAGAGTCAGCAATCACTTGGTTGTGGCATTTGATTTAAAAATTTTCATTGAATTTTACCACCTGTCTCGGAGTCTATGATAGAGAGGCGTTGGGGGTCTTTTGTTTGGAGTTACTTGTTCTGTTTGAGGTTGACCTGATTGCAATGCTTACTTCGCTTAATGATAAAGAGGTCCTCTTGTTACTGTCTGCAAATTTCGAAGTAATGCACAGGCAGTCAACTCAGCGGACATTTTTTTTACTTTCATCATGAAAAGGCAATTTTTCGGTTAATAAGACGTATGAAATTAAGGAGTCGTATAATTTTGTGCATAATTTAAATGCCACTGGAAAAAAAGGATGCAATTGAGCCTATTCGCCTCTACCGACAGGGTATTTCAATTCGCAAATTACACTTCTTATTCCACGACAAGTCAAGTGAGCCAATGAGAAGGGGAGATTAATTAGCAAAAAGTGTTGACTGTGCTAAAAATTGGGATGCTGCGTATTTTACGTACCACTAATTTTTTAATTGCGCGTCAGTGAAAGGTCTGGGCTATGGCGTCGCACTGCACCGCAAAAAAAAATCAATAGCGTCGCATTGTTGAGGCCGACACGCTCTCTGCTCCGTACTCCACTTAGCGTGGACGCATGTTGTGTGTCGATAGTAGAACAAAAAAGTCAAACAACTTCATTCACATACATAAGTCATTCACATGCACTCAGGCGCAAGCGCAGACTTTCGCACCCACGCACGCATGCACGTACACACACAAAATGTGGCCTAGATGCTGACTGCGAATGCAAACAATCTGCTTGTGTCGTCTCGTGTCCATCCCTCCTACACTCTGCGGGCCCCTCTAGCACTATGCAGGTGTGTGCATGCCTGATGGAACTAGCAGGCCAGGGCAAACGCGCACATTTTTATTTGTGTGTCTTACACCCAAACCCCATCCCATATGACGCTTGTCCCCTAAATGTTGCCTACTACACCCACTTCTGCGTCAGCATTAAGCTTCGAAATCTTACCTAGGTCAAGCAAGCAAGTCATATTCGACCTAACCTCTAAGGTGAATGCATGGTTTATACGGGTTTCTGAATGCCATTAACGTTTTCCTTTTTTTGGAACGGCGAGGGAAGGAATGATGCCTTCGCTTCATTAGCTTCCGTGCTTGAAATTACGGACTACTCATTTTTAACAAAGGCCTTCATTAAGTGGAGGAGGTAGATTTTTTTACACATTTATGAATAATTGCACACAATTTTAGTAGTGAAGGCTGAGAGTTGTTCATCTTTGTGATGGGTAGCAAATTGTATCGAAATACTATATCCAGTCACAGAAACATTTCATAACATTAAACAATTACTACAAAACTACCAAAAAAACTGATAAATTTTGGTGATTTCTCTCCCCTCCTCTCCTTCACAGGGCCTAACGCGATTTTACTTTCATCTATCAACAATCGATTTATTGATTAGCGAATGGGCTAGTTTGCTGCGTGCCAGTTGGTGTGAGTCATTCGCTTGTAGAGAGTGAAAGTTGTGGGCTCTTGTTTACATATCCTCACCAATTTGTATCAATCCCCAAACAAAACTATAATAGAATAAATTTGCATTGGAAATGTGCGTCTCGAAAGGGAAATGGAAACTAAATTAATCGATCGACCTTTTTTTCCAGCTACAGTGCACGTGCTAGGTTATAGAGACAGGATTGACACGTCATCTTAGGAAAAGTAAGACACTCACTCTTTCATACACAAAATTCGTTATATTATAAGAGATTTAATTTAATTTTAAAACATACCGATGATCATATTGTTTTCTATCGAGCGAATGTTTCAGTAAATTTGTCCTTCAAGTTCAAATTAGGTCATTGCTACAAAAAGCGTCAATTTCCTGGACTAAAGCCTTAGAGAAGGCGTGCTTGAGGCTAACTCTCCAACCTTTTCCTATCCACCTCCTAACTCCCATGTGGCAGTACTATGCAAAAAAAGGTAGTTTTGTTAACGTCTTCTTATGGGGGAACACTTGTTGTGGTTCACGCTAGTGATATTTCCTTAAAATGTTGATCTTAAAGGACAGTTGTGTTGAGCGACATGTTCTTATTAACAGTCTGATGAGTTGGTGTAAGTTGCCGTCAAGTGCCTCTGCCATCACTCAACTGCATTAACTTCACCTACACACTTTCAAGTCTCGCAGACTCGCTTGTACGTGACATGTGACAAAGTGCTATGGAATAATTTTTTGACAGCAGTTGCCTTCTTTGTCTCATACTATAAACGTTGTTGCA